GCATCCACTGAGACCAGCCCCCCCCCCCCCTCTTTTTTTTAATTACGAATACAAGGAAAGTCCAGCTAAAGAAGGAACAGAAGGGATACGCGCTGTACCTGATTCAGATATGTCGTCCCAGTATGGCGAGTCAAATTCATATTCTGCTTTTATGATCTGATTGAAAAGCTCTGAGTCGTTTTCGTCGTAGAAAGGCGGATATCCACACAGCCTATAAAACAGTAATAACATGTTACACGTCTTTTCATCTGCTCAGTTACACGTCACTTTAATGTGAACCTGTGGCCAGGCTATGGACATTCCGTTCAAGCTTCAAAACCAGCCCTCACTGACCTCTGTAGCTGCAAGCACAGTGGAGAAATTGCATTCTCAAAGTTGACATTATAAGCACTGGAGTTCCTCAAATCCTTCTGTCAAGATATTAGATTCCCCTGCCCCCCTCCCCAATCAGCAATGATTTAGCAGCTCCCGCCCCCTTCCAGTAGTGCCTCATTAACTCAGCTCGCCGCGCTCCCCCATCCTAGCAGTGACTCGGCAGCTCAGCTTCCCCTTCTCCACCCTCCTAAATAATTTACTCTGTATTTACATTAGGCTAGAAGGCTGCCAAGTCACTGCCGGGAGGAGAAGAAAGTAGGGTTATACGAGCTGCCGACTTACCACTAGGAGGTGCAAGGGTGAGCTGAGCTGCTGTGTCGCTGTTGAGAGGGAGAGCAGAGTGAACTCAACTGCTGGGAGAGGGGAGCTGGGTGCGCTAAGCTGCTGGGTGTGTCAGGGACCAAAGCACCTCCAGGTGGCGCTGGAACAAGGTCCTGCAGTTCCTGCGCTCACCTGCAGGTGTTTCCAGGCAGCCAGGAGCTGTCAGGTACCAGATCACCACTGGATGGTGCTGGAACCTGCAAGTCCAGTGCTCACCTGCGGGTGTCTCCCAACTGTCGGTGATTATTCACCACCTGGTGCTACCTGGGAGGGTATTTAATCCCTCCCTGCAGTGTGGATTTTGCCTCAGTATTGTCGCCATTTCCTGCATCCAGGTGCCCCCATGTACTCTGACCATTGCTCCATGGCTCCCCTTGTGTTGCCGTGCTCCCCAGGTTTCACTTGCCCCTTTGTATGTGGTTTCGTTGTTTGGATTTAGTTGGTTATTGTTTGTTACTTGTCGGTGTTGGCCGGGTTGTTTGTCTTTTTATGATGTTGGTGTGTTTAATAAACTGTGCGCTCATAAACCTCGTCTGGCGTGGTCACACATTTGGTCCTCCCGTAGACATACCTGTACGCGCTGTGGGGACACCCGTGCACTGTATCCCTGACACCGGGTCACTGCTTGGAGCAAGGAGCTGAGCTGCTAATCGCTGTTTTCGGGAGGAGTGACTGGAGCTTCTGGGAAGGGGATGCTGGGTGAGCTGAGCTGCCGAGCGAACAACTTCAGTGCTTCTGATATAAAATTTGAGGATGAATTGCTCCACTGAGCCTGCGACTACAGAGGTCATTGGGGGGCTTGTTTTATTGCCCATTCACTGAGACCTCGACTATGGGTATTATTTTCTCTGCACTGTCTGAAAGGAAACCTGTCATTGGATACAGATAGCAAAGCTAAACCAAGTAGTTACCACAATCCTGTACTGAGGAGACTTGGAGGGGACTGGATCAGGACAGTCAGAGAGAAGGCAGAGCTTCTACACTGCACATGCTCATAAGTTATTCAAAAATAATTCACAAAGTACCGAACCCAAAAGATCAGCATGACAGCCGGAGACTAGTATTTTCAGAAGGACAGGTCAGCCATGGCAGCCTCCATACCTCCAAGAGATTTCTTCATCATCCAAGGACCGAGAGCTCATGGACCAAGGGCACTGTATGCACATAGTGGTTGCTAGATCCAAAATTGAAGCTCTGGCATGTCCTCCATATTCCTCAATGTCTGCAATAAGGCCCGGCAACTATCTCCAGCTCTTTAGAGAAGCACGCAGGAGGAGGTGTGGGTGGCAACCATATCAGAGCTCTGACTTCAGAGGAGGAAGTCATTATTTGCATATTGGAAGTCCATATTTGCATAATAGGTGCCTCAGGTTCATTGGCTACTATGGCTCTCTAGGATGACTGATACACTTAGGCATGAGGACCTTACAGCTCCAAAGTCAGAGCTATGAGACTCTGCCACCTCGGTTCCAGTGCCGCAGACGTAATTAGACCCAACAGGTTCCTGAATAGGCCTGCAGTCTATAAGACCCCTAAACACTACCCTCCTACCCCCTGTTCCTAAAACATGACAGTTCCCGAGTTCCCAACAGAGGCTGCACATTCAGTTTGGAGAAGGATTTGGTATTTGCCGTGTATCGTAGGCTGATGGAAATATATTTGACACATAAGGATCATGAATAGGTGATACCTACAGAATGTATGAGATGACGCCTAAGGCCCACACATCCACGGCCTTCCCGTACGGCTTCTGCTCCAGGAGTTCGGGGGCTGCGGACAAACAACAATATCAGCAGTTGGGGATTAGGAAATCCAGCTATTCATTTTGTATGATAACGCTTATGATCTTTCACTAGGACCATGAAGAACGTGTATTTTTAACTCTAAAGCTGCCTATAAACATAACATAGAAGTCTGTAATATAAGTATGATATCAAGTTACACATTTGTTCATCTAAAGATGGCTAAAATAAATATATTGTGATTGTTCTTTAGGTCCAACAACATGTGGTGTGAGGGTATGCTCAGTGGCGTAACTACTGTCATAGCAGCCCACGCGGTTATTATGGGGCCCGGGGGGCAGAGGGGGGCCCGGTCAGCAGGCCTTGGGCCCAGCAGCAGAGGTGGAGGAGGCAAGGGTGGGCGGTAGCGGAGACCGGGGGACCGGAGGTGGAGAAGGAGGCTGGAGCCCGGTGGTGGCGGTGAAGGAGGCCAGGGCCCGGCGGTGGCAGTAGCGGTGGACGAGGCCAGGGCTCAGCAGGGCCGGTCCGATGTGGGGGCGGAGGTGGAGGAGGCTGAGGCCTAGCAGCGGGCGGCTCGGGGCTGGCGGGTAAGAGGAGCACAGTGTGCAGGGAAAGGGACCCCGACCAGCCCACCTGGGACCCTGCAGAGCCCCCCATAGAGAGTCTATAGTGGGCTCTGCAGAGTCAGTCTCAGGTGGGCTGTGCAGGGTCGCTG